GGCATGTTTAGCCTGGAGAAGAGGAGGTTAAGGGGTGATATGATAGCCATGTTCAAATATATAAAAGGATGTCACATAGAGGAGGGAGAAAGGTTGTTTTCTGCTGCTCCAGAGAAGCGGACACGGAGCAATGGATCCAAACTACAAGAAAGAAGATTCCACCTAAACATTAGGAAGAACTTCCTGACAGTAAGAGCTGTTCGACAGTGGAATTTGCTGCCAAGGAGTGTGGTGGAGTCTCCTTCTTTGGAGGTCTTTAAGCAGAGGCTTGACAACCATATGTCAGGAGTGCTCTGATGGTGTTTCCTGCTTGGCAGGGGGTTGGACTCGATGGCCCTTGTGGTCTCTTCCAACTCTATGATTCTATGATTCTATGATTCTATGAATACGCCCAGGATAAGCTCAGAGGTCTCAGGGGGGAGGGAGAAAGCCCCGGAGGCTTTGAGGAAAGAAATGGGGCATTGTATTACAAAGGGGCACTGTATATACCCGAAGGAGAATTGAGGGGGAGAGTACTCAAGCAGTTGCACGATAGCCCCACAGCGGGGCATTTTGGGCAACACAAGACCATGTGGTTGGTTACCAGGGAATTTTGGTGGCCCAAGGTGAGGGAAGATGTAAGGGAGTATGTAAGAGGGTGTGACCAATGCCAGCGAGCCAAAGGGGAAAGGCGGGCGCCGGCAGGGTTATTAGAACCATTACCCACACCAGAACGGCCATGGGAAGCGGTATCGATAGATTTTATGACGGATCTGCCGAAATCCAAGGGGAAAACAGCCATCATGGTAGTAGTAGACCTGTTAACTAAGATGTGCCACTTTGTAGCATGCTCACATGCAGTCACAGCGGAAGAAACGGCGAAATTGTTAGTAGAACACATTTTTCGGTTGCATGGCGCCCCCTTGAGGGTGGTCTCAGACAGAGGCAAACAATTTACGTCCAGGTTCTGGAGGAAGCTCATGAGCTTACTGCACGTGGAGGTCAATTTTTCGACTGCCCGGCACCCTGAAACCAACGGGCAGGCGGAAAGAGCTAACGGTATCCTCCAACAATACCTGAGGTGTTATGTCAATGACAGAGAGAACGATTGGGTCGAAAAGTTGGCGCTGGCAGAATTTGCCTACAATAATGCGGAGAATGTGTCTACAGGGATGAGCCCCTTTTTGGCCAATTACGGGTGTCACCCCAGGGCATTTCCAGGGGGAGGAGGGGAGAGATGGAGCATCCCAGCGGCCGAACATTTTGTAGAAGAGATGGAAGCGATCCATCATCAGCTCCAGCTCAACTTAGAAAGGGCCAAAGAAGAATATAAGAGGCAGGCAGACAAGAACAGAAGGGAAGGTGAAACCACAAGGGTGGGGGATCAGGTGTGGCTGTCAACCCAAGGGTTGCCGTTCAAAGGGGGTTGTAAGAAATTGAGACCCAAAAGATTGGGACCCTTTGAGGTCATTCAGCAGGTCAACCCAGTGGCTTTCAAACTCCGGTTACCCAACCACATGAAATTGCACCCAGTATTCCATAGGTCTTTACTGTCACCGTACAGGGGGGGACGTGAAGGGGAGTACACCAGGGGACCAGCCTTGGAAGAAAGGGAACGCAGCAGCCATGTAGCGGAAATCCTCGATTCCAGGTGGATGGGAAATCAGGTGGAGTATTTGGTGGCGTGGGAAGGGGAACCGGAGTCAGAAAACACCTGGGTAACTGTAGAGGATGTCAATGACGAGGTCTTAATAGAAACGTTCCACCAAAGGTTCCCGAGGAAACCTCAGCCTGTAGCAAGGTTCAGGAGGGAGTACTTCGGCACCACCGACGAGGAGGAGGAACTGGAAGGGTTCATGGAATCGGAGGTGGAAGAAGGAATTGACTCCGATGACGAGGAGTACCGGGAGACCAGGAACAGCAACCGGTGGAGGGAAGTGTTCGAGACTTCGGAAGATGAGGGAGGTTCTTTCAGGGGCTTTGCTTCCTCACCGCCCATAGAGGAGGGGACGGGAGGGGGTGAAGGGGGCCCTGGAGGGGAGGTGGATGTCAGGGAACTGCCATCAGAAAGACAGGAGGTGGAAAGGCTCCCGGAGGTTGAGAGAGACTTAGCAGCTGGAGAGGGAACCAGCAGGGGGAGAGGAGGGGCTCCAGGGGAAAGTGAATCGGAGGGATGGCTCAGAGACACTTCCAGCGAAAACAGTGGGGAGGTTTCAAGACCTCCTATAGGGACACCCACTCCTCGCCGGAAACTGTCACGCCGAGAGTCCAGAAGACGTGTTTCCGTTAAGGAGCTTTTATGCTGGAAGAGATTCCGTAAGAGACCACTTTCGGATTCTGCTAGCGACTGACGCAGCCATGCTGGAGGGGCTCTGTCGCAGGCAGAGGTTTGAGGACTTGACCAAACTCTGAGGGACTTGCATTTTACGCACAAGCAGCTCATTATCCCATTACAGGTATGGATGCTTTAGAAATAAAGTGGAAAGCATAGATATTTGAATTAATACATAAGAATGCCTGGTTGGGTAAGATCACCTATCTCATGTGATCAATTCAGACAGGATGATGCAGTAATTGCTATGGGGAGGTAGGGTAGTAGTTAAGAGAAATAATGGCACTGAACAGGATTGGGAAATAAGAATATTTGCATAGCTTAATTTTCAGAGAATATTTGCACTCTGTTATTACATGTACATTCCATTCTACTTTAAGAAAATTCAGCATGCCTTATAATGGGAGCCTGGAATAATTCCATGCAGGCACTGACCAGAGTAGTAAGCTTGTGCCATGCAACCCTTGTGGGGACACTTTATTTCTCCAGGATCTGACCCAATATTTTGACCAGCTTCTGGCAGATTTGTTAGGTAATCAATTTTTAGTAAACAAAAAACCAAAACAAGACAGTTATTTGACAAATTTATATGAATAGGCTGTGAACCCACTGGGAGGAATTTCCATAGCACAAAACTGAGAGAAACTCTAAATATCCTCAGAATAATCAGGTGGATTGCAATATTGATGGATGGAATCAGTTAAAAGCAAGTAAACTGTAAACTGGGTACAAAAAGCATTTAGCAACTGACAGCCCTGTTTCAGAAGGCAAAGCAGAAAAGGAATAGTGAAGTCTTAGGCCAGCTACACAGAGGAAGGTCAGGCAGAATACAGTAGAAGCTGAAGGTATAATTTATTGGCCAAACAAAGCCAGTAAAGGATTGGGGAGAAAAAACCAAAGATGTCAGAAATCCTTACCTGAAGAAACAGATAACTATGAGAAATGCTATGCCAGTTTAAAGTATGTTGTGCTCCCTGATTTGTTGACATCACCTGTGCAACTAAAGCAGGAAAGGGAAAGAGGCCATAACCGGAGAAAACAAAAATGACCATGAAGTTGACATCATGACTCTTAGACTGGGATTACCAAGTCTTGTCATGACTTAGTGTCAGGGACGTGGCTGAAATGAACGCCTGGGAAGAGTCAAGCTCTGGAGATGAAGGACTGCTAGTACAGAGAGAACCAGAGTCTGACTCTGGAGATGAAAGAGTGCAGACAGAGCAGGAAGGGGTTAGCTCAGATAGAGCAGCACTCAAGACAGTTCACAGGCAGGGGGAGGAGAAGAGATAGACGACATTGAGGGGCTTGCTATGCAACCAGTAGAGAAGCAGTGTTCAGAGAAATAATAAAAAAAAAACCCTTCCAGTAGCACCTTAGATATCAACCAAGTTTTTTATTGGTATGAGCTTCCGTGTGCATGCACAATTCTTTGGTGTTCAGAGGGCTCTTCGTTTGAGAGCGGGGGGGGGGGGATTTCCACCCACCTTCTCCCTGAATCAGAAGAGCTGAAATGGTTAAAATACAATGGAAGTATAAAAGAGGAAGGACTTTGGTGCCCATTGTGCTGCGACAGGGGTGGGGACTCAGACTGACCAACTCATAGCTAATGGTGGCAGGCCTGGAACCGCTGGATGTAAATTGTAAATAAACGTGCATAAATGAGGAACATCGCCCGGCTGTGGGGCATGGAGGCCGCTCCCTGCAAGGCCCTTTCCACCTGGCCTAGGGAGCTGGGCCCACACTCACCAGCCCCACTGAAGAGGCTCCTCATGAGGCCAGAGGAACATCGCCCGGCTGTGGGGCATGAAGGCCGCTCCCTGCAGGGTCCCTTCCACCTGGCCTAGGGGACTTGGCCCACACTCACCAGCCCCACCGAAGAGGCTCCTCATGAGGCCGGAGGAATATCGCCCGACTGTGGGGCATGAAGGTCGCTCTCTGGAAGCCCCCATCCACATGGCCCAGGGGGCAGGGCCCAGACTCACCAAGCCTAGAAAGAAGCTCCTCATGAGGCTGGAGGTACATTGGCCGGCTGCGAGGTGTGGAGGCCGCTCCCTGCAAGGCCCTGTCCTCTTGCCCTATGGGGCAGGGCCCACACTCACCAGCCCCACTGAAGAGGCTCCTCATGAGGCCAGAGAAACATCGCCCGGCTGTGGGGCGTGAAGGCCGCTCCCTGCAAGGCCCTTTCCACCTGGCCTAGGGGGCTGGGCCCAGACTCACCAGCCCCACCGAAGAGGCTCCTCATGAGGCCAGAGGAACATCGCCCGGCTGTGGGGAGTGAAGGCCGCTCCCTGCAAGGCCCTTTCCACCTGGCCTAGGGGGCTGGGCCCAGACTCACCAGCCCCACCGAAGAGGCTCCTCATGAGGCCAGAGGAACATCGCCCGGCTGTGGGGAGTGAAGGCCGCTCCCTGCAAGGCCCTTTCCACCTGGCCTAGGGGGCTGGGCCCAGACTCACCAGCCCCACCGAAGAGGCTCCTCATGAGGCCAGAGGAACATCGCCCGGCTGTGGGGAGTGAAGGCCGCTCCCTGCAAGGCCCTTTCCACCTGGCCTAGGGGGCTGGGCCTAGACTCACCAGCCCCACCGAAGAGGCTCCTCATGAGGCCAGAGGAACATCGCCCGGCTGTGGGGAGTGAAGGCCGCTCCCTGCAAGGCCCTTTCCACCTGGCCTAGGGGGCTGGGTCCAGACTCACCAGCCCCACCGAAGAGGCTCCTCATGAGGCCAGAGGAACATCGCCCGGCTGTGGGGCGTGAAGGCCGCTCCCCGCAAGGCCCTTTCCACCTCGCCTAGGGGGCTGGGTCCAGACTCACTAGCTTTACTATATTAAATACGTGTTCTGTAGTTGACCTCCTTTGTGATGTTTTGTTTTGAAATCTTTAAGATAACATTTTAGTTTTCTCTTATGTAGTGTAATTAAACTGATGCAACTTGTTTGTTCAAATTTTGGGGAATTTGCACCCCCAGATACCTAAAACTTTTCCTAGCTATTGGAGTCTTCAACATTGCCGTAAACGTCTGTTGTATATGAATGGGGTGGTGTATGAAAAAGCATTACCTCTGCTTTCTTAAAAGTTTCTTGCAATCCTGAGACCCTGGAGAACTGTTCCAACTCTGTACATAGTATTTTTCCTGCTGTGATAGGGTCAGAGGTGCATAAAATTATATCCTCTGCAAAGAGGCCTGACTTTTGTTGATTTCTGTTTGCAACCACTTCTGTACAAGTAGGTCCCAGGGGGGTTTGGGGTTCTACCTGCTGGGGGACCAGAAGCATTCCCTTGTTTGCAGCTGATGGCATAGGGACAGGGCTCCCAATCTGGACAGAGGGGTTCCTCTGTTCCAGTGGAATGGGGGCTAAGGTTCCACGATGGTAGAGGCCCACTCTGGCTAAAGATTTAGGCACTGGCTAAATCTTACACCTGTTAAGCTCACCTGTTTCTATCATTTGGCGACAAAAATCATCATTCATCTAAAGAACAATTGCTATTTCAGGCTCACACACGAGAGCAGAATCTAACCAAACTGCTTTTGGTTCTGAATCAATGTAGATCATTTATGGATATTTACGTATTTATCTACTGATTTTCCTCCCAAACTGATATTTTGTGTTGTTGTTCCCTAGAAACTCTTGGTTTGTAAGCTGCTTTGGACAAGTACAATGTACATTGTTGTACAAAATGCAGTGTAGATGGACAGTAGTACTGAAAATAAATATGTAATTTTGAAGAAGTCTCAGACTTTATTGGCATATCTAGTGAAAGATATATTCAAGACTAAGTCCCACTGAAGGCCATTAAATGGGCCTTGGTCATGGCTTATCTAAGCCCCATGGAGGGTACTGGGACCTTGACTAACTTGGGTGGCTTTTTAAAGGAATCTGCCTTTCTCCCTTTTCTCTTTCCGTCTATCACAGCATCCACTTGCATGTATGTTACCATCTCTAAGTTGTCCAAAGATTTCACCCATTCCCCAGCTATAAATCCTTAACTTCCCAGCTGGCTTCTCTGTCTGCTTCATGGGACAATGAAGCAGAACAGGTGAACATCTAGATGGCACAATTTCCTACCTGCCATGTTGATAGGAATGCTGACACAAAAACCACAATTATCTACTATGATAGCACTCCTCACACTGCTTACTGAACAACATCTGGTAAGAAGTGGGCAATGGAATAGTGATGATGCAAAGTTGTTTCTTGCTGTTTCTACGGTAACCCTGCAGAATGTGAGGAAGGGGCTACGAGAATATTAGAATCAGAATGAGATTATGTCATCATGGAAGGTGGAAGAGCAGCCCAGGGGTGAGAAAAGGGTGATCAGTTCACCCTTCCTGATTGACAATTCATCTTCACAAATGCTCCCTACACATGTTTAAACATAGTCATTTGAATTTTCCTTTGGAGTTTGTTACTATCTTCCATGGAGACGATGTTGGAGAAAGAGAATTGCACTCTGGAGATGGCCAGCCGAGAGGAAGTTGTAGGAAGTACTCAAACCATACAATTCCTGCCTTTGTAACTGATCCCCATGATATCAAAGTAAGCTCCAATAGACAAGAGGGGAAGACTCAAGAGCAGCAGGTGCAGACCTTAGAACACTCCAAGCAGGCTTTGGAAGACACAGCACATCAAATGATTCCTGCCCTCCCCAGAGGAGGAGGAGACGAGTGGTGGTGATAGGTGACACCTACTGAGGGGAACAGAGGCAGCAGTGGAGGAAACAGGATGTCCTGGGAGATGTGCTGTCTTTCAGGTGCAAAGACTGACGATATGCCAGAGAAGTTGCCAAGTGTTATCAAGCCCACTGAGCACTACCCCTTCCTTCAGATTCATGTGGGTACAAATGATATTGCCACGCAGAGCCTTTAACATATAGCAAGGGGCTATGAGACTCTGGGCACGGAGCTGAAGAGCCTTGGGGCACAGGTGGTCTTTTCATCACTCCGTGTTGAAGGTCATGGCCCAGGAAGAGAGAGGGACTGTGTTGTGAGGCATCCACTGTGTGTGCCGAACCCCACGCTGGATGCTATAAAGGCATCCAGGAGGACAAGGAACACAACTTTGAGGCAGTGTGGCATGACAAAAGCCACCTGAACAAATATTAGCTCCTCAGCTAACCAACCAAGGTGTTTATCCCATGAGTACTGCTGGGATTATAAAATTGTCATCCCTAGCGAGATAAGAAATGTTGTTATCCTGGATGCCAAAAGAATATGAAGAAGTTAGAAGTAACTTATGACTCCGTGGCCCTCCTAAAATCACATGAGCTGTTTTGGTCACAGAACCATTTGAGCATTTCAACTCTCGCCCTCTGTGGGAAGGAGTATTCCACATTAGGAATACTGTACAGTGCACTGTCCTGGCCTCTCTACGTCAAAACAGGTCTTTGAGATCTGGAAAAGGTGGAGAAAAGAAAAACCAAAATTATCAAGGGGTTGGTTGAGGTCCCTTATGAGGAAAGGTTGGGGCCTTTTACTTTAGAAGGAAGGAGGCAGTCTTTCAGGTATTTGTCACATTCTGAGTCACAATGACCCTTGGTCACCTCTGTTGCCCTTCCTCTGGGCAAACCCACTATAAGAACATCAGAAGAGTCTGCTGGATCAGGCCAATGGGTTTAAAAGAAGATCAGACAAATTCATGGAGGAGAAGGCTAGCAAAAGCTGCTAGCCATAATGAGTATTCTTTGCTTCTAAGGCCAAAAGTGGTAAATGCTTCTTAATTCATGAAATCTGTGGTTTTATCACTTGAGTAGCATGCTGGGTGGGGAGAAAGAGGTCCCAGTTTCCCATGATGCTCTGCAATTTTTGGTGAGATAGATGATAGCTAGATGATAGATAGATAGATAGATAGATAGAGGTATATTCATATACCACCAACTCCTAAAATATCTACATGGTGATCAGGATATAAGCAAGTGCAAAATAATCACCAGTGGCGTAGCATGGGTTGTCAGCACCCGGGGCAAGGCAAGTAATTTGCGCCCCCTAACCCGTGGATTTGCGCCCCCTAACCTGTGGATTTGCCCTAACCCCAGATGTTGCGCCCGGTGCGGCCGGCCCCCCCTGCACCCCCCACGCTACGCCACTGATAATCACTAAAATGTTTGCCTGCTCAAAAGTAATTTAAACAGCTACACTTGGCATACAAAGGTCTGCAAGAGAGGCTAGACAACCCCATGACTATGAGACCCTTCAAACCTAAAGCAGCTCAGGCACACTGTCAGGTGCCAACTGAGAGGTTTGATGAGCTTCTTAGGAGATTTGATGTAGGTCTGAGCCACATGGCAAACCCTTCTGATAATAGCAAGGTAGGCAAAAGGAAAAACAAAATAGCAGGATATGGATAAGCTTCAAAGGCTCTAGTAAAGCTAGCTTTACTTCCCAAAGAGGTAGCACTACCTAGCAGATCTACAGCAAGTTATCCACTTACAGGACACCAGTACCTAGCTCTTCTCAGCTCTGCACAATTTCCTCTTGAGTCCTTCTCCTCTACCTGTTTTAAAAAGTAAAACTACATTTTTTTTACAGATATGCTTCAGGAGAGACTTTTGTGAAGGTGCTAGTATGCTAAGGATTTCCTTCTGCATGCACTGAGTGACACCCTCTTCTCATACTATTGAACAATATTGAGCACAATAGTGTTCAAAGGTAACATTGGAGGTCATCTAGTCAAACTCAGAGCAAGATATTTGCAGCTACAGCATCTCTGACTGTCCAAGGATGGCTAATCTGTGGCTTTCTATATGTTGTTGGATTACAACTTCCATAATCCTGTGGTAGCTAGGACTGATGGGAGCTGGAGTCTAGGGACATCTGGAGGCACACAGCTTAGCTATCCCTGGAGTATGTAGTGCCGTTGAATCACATAAATTAGAAAATCACATTATAGAAAACGGTAATAACCTTGGCGAGCAAAATACATGAAGTGTGGCACCTACAGCATACGAGAGCCAGCGTGGTGTAGTGGTTAAGAGCAGTGGACTCATAATCTGGTGAACCGGGTTTGATTCCCTGCTCCTCCACATGCAGCTGCTGGGTGACCTTGGGCTAGTCACACTTCTCTGAAGTCTCTCAGCCCCACTCACCTCACAGAGTGTTTGTTGTGGGGGTGGAAGGGAAAGGAGATTGTTAGCCGCTTTGAGACTCCTTAAGGGGAGTGAAAGGCGGGATATCAAGTCCAAACTCTTCTTCTTCTTCTTCATTAGCCTTCATACGAGTAAAACTAAACTGGAGATAAAAAAGATAGCTTCCAAACAGCTACACATCTTCACGTTACCTGCACCCCTCTCCATGTCTATTGTACAAGAATGCAGAATGTATCATATCCTAACAAGAAATCACAAGGTTTGCAAGAGAGGCAAATCCCCTCCTAGAGAAGGAGCCCTTTCTTACCTGTTTATAAAGGCTGGCTGGCTCCCTCCCTGACCTAGCTGTGCTCTGGTGTCCAGGCAGAAGGATGCTGGTCAGCAGAACAGGCTCTATGACCTTAGTGAGTAGCTAAGAGAAGCATTGTGAGCTCCTCATTCAGGGGCTGTTTAAAAAGCCAGGCAGGCACCCTACAAGTTAGTTATGGTGTAGCTATGTATATGTATATGTTATATGAGATATGCTATATGCTATATGAAATGTGTCATATTATATAAGAGATTGTTAATAAAGGAAAAGACGAAAAGAAGAGGCTCCTCATGAGGCTGGAGGAACATTGCCCAGCTGTGGGGCATGAAGGCCGCTCCCTCCAAGGCCCTTTCCACCTGGCCTAGGGGGCAAGGCCCACACTCACCAGCCCTACTGTGTTAAATATGTATTCTGTAGTTGACCTCCTTTGTAATGTTTTATTTTGAAATCTTTAAGATAATATTTTAGTTTTCTGTTATGTTGCTTTGACTATATACTCTATATTTGACTTTCTTCAGATTGTTTTATTTATGTTTTATTGATTTAATATGCTGTAAACCGCTTTGAGATTTTTCCTAAAAATATAAAGCTGTATGGAAATAAAAAAAACTAAAAAAACTGCCAATGACATTAATTCTTATCAGAGCTTGCTTGCCTTCCTGACTTACACTTAGGATAGTAAGAGTGGGGAAACTTGGCTGTTGATCAGGCTGTACATTAGTACTGTGCACAAAATTTGACTATTTGGAGGGACTTTGGCATTGAATGAGTTGGGTTCAGACAGCCACTCATTGCTACAGGTTGTGCTGGGTGGCACATAGTGCAAGCATGGACACAAGATGAAGCTTGATCTCACAAGTTTTCTTCATTCACATTGATTTGCAGACACCTAAACCAACTTGCAGTTGAGGCTCCAATATTTTGGCCACCTCATGAGAAGAGAAGACTCCCTGGAAAAGACCCTGATGTTGGGAAACATTGAGGGCACAAGGAGAAGGGGACGACAGAGGACAAGATGGTTGGATAGTGTTCTCGAAGCTACAAACATGAGCCTGTCCAAACTGCGGGAGGCGGTGGAAGATAGGAATGCCTGGCATGCTCTGGTCCATGGGGTCATGAAGAGTCAGACACGACTAAACAACAACAAAACCAACTTGCACCCATTCTCTTCTTTTGCGTTGCCAAAGGTAGATAAACACCTGAGTTTGAACCCAAATAAGTCATATTCAGAATCTATTTATTTTAACAGGTCTCCTCTACAATTTAGTTGGATAACAATTCTTAGTTATACTCATGACTCTCCAGTCAG